TCCTACTTTAACTTGAAATATTTCCAAACTCAGTAAGATACAAAATGAATGTGCTTTTGGTGTATTATGTTAACTTGTTTCCTTGTCAAAGTCACTGTTGTATAACATATGTAATAACAAATGTAATTGTCTTGTATATTATAAATTCAGATAATCTGGTTTTTTTTTTGGGGGGGGGGTAATTAGGAGGGTTGGTGTGTTGTCTCAACTATTGGTAATTTATTACTAATTATACCATCATATAAAACAGTTCAAATTTAAAGCTGTTTAAGCAGAGACGTATAAAAGAACTTAGAATTGGTTATATTATTTGAATTTATATTCAATGTTTTGCTTTTGTGCAATACACTATGCTGTTGTGAATTGAATATTTGAAGACATTTTCTTTTTAATTTCTGAAATCTGAAATGAGACATCTTACTACACACAATGCTGTGCTATTGCTTAATACTGTGCAATTTAAGATTTCTTGCTATTGCGCAATACTGTGCAATAAGATATTTCTTGCTATTGTGCAATATTGTGCAATTGAAGATTTCTTGCTAAATTGTGCAATACTGTGCAATTGATGATTTCTTGCTATTGTGCAATACTTTGCAATTGGTTATTTCTTGCTATTGCTCAATACTGTGCAATTGTAGATTTCTTGCTGTTGCGCAATACTGTGCTTTAGCGCAATTCTATGCAATTGGAAGATTTCTTGCTATTGCACAATACTTCATATGATAACTTGTGTGTTTCTCCTGTCATATCAATATTTTTTGCTTTTACATATATCTAATATAATTGATTGAAAAATGGAAAATTTAAAAAAAAATACATAAAATTTATGACCCCCCCCTTCCCCAATTATTTTGACCCCCCCTTGAAGTAATTACCCCCAAACTCAATCCCAGCCTTCTCTTAGAGGTATGGTACCTTGCAGTACAATTTCAGAGAGATCCATACACTTAAACACAAGTTATTGTCTGGAAACAAGAAAAATGCTATTTTTTTTGCCCCTTTATTGGCCCCTAATTCCTGAACTTTTGGGCCAATTACCCCCCAACCTCTTACCCAGTCTTCACATTGAGATATGGAACCTTGTAGTACAATTTCAGAGAGATCCATATACTTACACACAAGTTATTGTCCAGAAACTACAAAATTGCTTGTTTTTAGCCCCTTTTTTGGCCCCTCATTCCTGAACATTTAGGACAATTACCCCCAAACTCATACCCAGTCTTCCCATTGTGATATGGAACCTTGTTGTACAATTTCAGAGAGATCCATACACTTACACACAAGTTATGGTCCGGAAACTACAAAATTGCTTGTTTTTTTATCCTTTTTGGTCCCCAATTTTTTTAAAACCGTTGGTACCATAACCCCAAAACCAACCCCAGTATTCCCATTGTGATATGGAACCTTGTGGTACATTTTCAGAGATATCCATAGACTTACACACAAGTTATGGCCAGGAAACTACAAAATTGCTTGTTTTTTACCCTTTTGGGGCCCTTAATTTCTAAACCTTTGGTACCATAACCCCCAAAATCAATCCCAACCTTCCCTTTGTGGTATTGAACTAGAAAAATGCTTGTTTTTGGTCCTTTTTTTTGCCCCCAACTCCTGCATGTTTGTGGCAATTACCCCCAAACTCAATCTCAGCCTTCCCTTGATATGGAACCTTGTGGTACAATGTCAGAGAGATCCATACACTTACACACAAGTTATTGTCCGGAAACTACAAAAATGCTTTTTTTTTTACCCTTTTTGGCCCTTAGTTCCCAATCTGTTGGCACCATAACCCCCAAAATGTGGCATTAAACATTGTGGTATAATTTCAGACCAATCGAAATACTTTTACACAAGTAAGTATCCTGAAACTAGAAAAATGCTTGTTTTGGGCCCCTAATTTCTAAGCGGTTGGGACCATCATCCCCAAAATAAATCCCAACCATCCTTTTGTAGTAGCCTTCTTAAAAAAATTCATAGAGATCCATTCACATAAACTCAAGTTATTGTCCGGAAACCAAATATGTCTTCGGATGACAATGCTGACGATGCAGACGACGACATCATAGCATTATACGAACCCAAAAATTTTTTTGCGGTCGTATAAAAATGTAAGCAAGAATATAAGGATGGTATGAGAGCCAATGAGACAACACTTCTCTCTGTCAAAGAAACAATGTATTAAAAGTAAGCAATATCAATATATAATAGGTTAAAATATGTTTAGTAATAACATGGCTATTATATTATACTTGAATCGTATGAAAAAAAATCATAGAAATTTTAGTATTAACATGATTAAATATGGCTATATACAGTGAGATATGTTCATGGACACTTTTTCATACCTAAGGCCATTTTTCATAGGAAAATTGTGGCTTGGACACATTTAAATAAGTAAATATTGTCCATGCCTCCATGGACAGTATTTATATTTATTATGAAAAAATTTTTGTTAAACATTATTTCATAGGGAACATTATTAAGTCATATGAAACCTCCTCCCCCACCCAACACATTCTTTAAATTTCTGTCCAAAGTCAGGAGCCTGTGATTGAATGGCTGTAATTCTAATACTATAGTTTTAGCCTAAATCAGACAAAGGTTTTCTCATTTTATTTTATTTTTTAAATTGGTTCATGACTGCCTTTTATAGTTTGCTATAGAGTTTTATGGCTTTAAGGATCATCGTTGAACATTGTATGATGACCAAAAGTAGCTAGCATCTACATCATTTGGTATTTGGTGTATAAGTGTCTCATTTGCAATTATACAACAACTCCTTACTTTAGCTCACCTGGCCTCAGCAAGACAAGAAATATGACAAGGACAAAACTGTTGGTTAACTCTGTAAAGGAGTAATTGCCCCTAATTGATGATTTTTACCAATTTTAGTGTTTTTCCTTTTAATTCATAAACTATAAAAGATAAAATAAATGGGGAATGTGTCCATAGGGACTCAGATGATGTCCCTGCTAGCATATAACGTTATAAAGGGACATAACTCACTAACTGTATAAGTGACGCTACCAAAATTTGAACTTAAACTGAGTTTTGTGGTAATAAGCATTGTATATACATTGCATAACATTTAGTTGAGACAAACTGACAGAAGTTGGAAACAAAAAATTCAGCAACTTTTCTATTTGTAAAAAAAACATAACTTTTGAATGGTAAAGGTGACGCCACCAAAACTCATACTCAATCTGTGTTTTGTGGTAATGAGCATTGTGTATAAGTTTCATATCATTTGGTTGAGTCAAACTGAAGTGGGAGAACGTAACAAAAAATACAGCATTTTTTTTCATTTTTAAAGGGGCATAACTCTTGAATGGTAAAAGTGATGCCACCAAAATTCAAACTTGTCTTGTGTTTTGTGGTAATAAGCATTGTGTTCAACGTTTCATAACATTTGGTTGAGGCAAACTAAAGTTAGAAAACCGAAACCAATTTTGGGACATACGTACTTACAGACAGACAAGGGTTAAACTTAATGCCCCCTCAACTGCGGCAGGGGCAATAAAAAAATTCAGAGAAGAAATGATCATGAGGACAAGATTCACAAAATAATCACCAAAATAAAATCTTCAGAAATTTTTTTTAATATTCAAAAGAAAATGTATGTTTTTTTTTGGGGAAAACTCAGAAGTACTCCATTTAAATGTTATTGCCACTGAATGTTAATCAAACAAGTAACCATGGTAACTACATGTAGTATGTTAATTTGGATACTGTTGTTTTGTGTATCATACTTTGATATTTTTATATTTTACATCAGATTTTAGTAAATTTAATTCTAAGTAATTAATGAGTAGTTTCTAGTCATGCATCAGTGGTTTTATTTATTGTAAGACTTCTTTCTTCATGGCTCAGTGAATGTTGATCCATTGAGTATTAGTTTACTCTCTAGGTTTAACTAGTTTGTGCTATGAAAACTCTATCTCCTTTATGATAATTGGTTCATTAAGTCATATGTCTATTTAGGAGGGAAATTCTTTTGTTTAGTCAGACTTTACTTATATTTTGAACTGATTGGAGCTGTGCTGTTCCTTATATAATTTTATTCAAATTTGGTGGACATCTTTGATTTTTTTTCAAATAAGGTCAGTGTTCCATAATTAATACCTCACATGCCTTCTAATATACTGATATGAATTAATGTATTACATTAATGATTTTGTATGAATGGTCAAAATGAATGATTTCAGAATAAAAGGTTCAAATGAATGATTATTATGAAACACAAAAGCACATATTTATAAAATATTGGTTCAATCCGATAAGTCTAAATAATCATTTTATAAGAATTTATGCCAAACAATATTTGAATATCTCGGTTATTGCCCAAAAAATTAAAAGTAATTATGTATTGGACCCCCCTTTTTTTTGACATTTAATGTAAATGAATGGGGACATATGGTTGAAAACCCCCTCCCCCTTTTTATCCTGGGTTGGGATCCCCCCCCCCCCTTATGTAATTGCTGGATCCGCCCCTGGAAACATTACAGCTTAAAGAAACTTCAAATTGCAAAAATGATCAACAAGACAATATCTACAAACAAGTCAAACTTTAACGAAATTAAAAACTACTCATTATTAGAATTATTGACTGTTTAATGATGACTTTTATCATTTGTTTTCCTTTTCTGGAAAACAATAATAATATTTTACATTTTACTATTATAGATAGAAAGCCACTTTAATAGCAAAAATGATCAGCAAGACAAGATCTACAAATATGTCAAATTTTGCCAAAATCGTGATTGCCCTGATACATGTTTTATGACAAGTTTGTACAAACCAACACACTCCCTAGAGCCATCTCGTTGATATTGTCATCTTAAATGAACAGAGTTATCTTTCTTTGTACTGATTATTGATATTGCAGGGTCAGATTTTTATTATACTTCCAAAACTACTCAGTTTTGTACAAATATTCTAAAAATAATATGCCTATTTATTTATTCTTATTGACATGTTTTTATGTTTTGCAGGATATTTCTATTAGTAAATGAATCAAATGAAGAATCTTCATGGTTAAATGCATAGAAAGGATATTTGAAGAGAGCCAATGACATAAGGAGAAGCAGTTATGAATTTTGAAATTGATATAAAGGAGAGGTCATTCATCACAGAAGATTTAATCAAAGTTTACAGGTAGGAGACTTGATCGGTTGATTTTTATCAATAGTCATAAATAAAAAAGATGTGGTACTATGATTGCCAATGAGACAACTATCCTTGAGAGTCCAAATATTGCAGATTTAAGCAATGGTATGTTACTATGGCTTTCAACAATGAGCAAAACCCATACCATATCTTCAGCTATGCATCTGCTTAGACATTGCTTGTTTACTGTAATGTGGCAAATGTTTAATGCATATTCAAGATGATATAAAATGTTAATAGATGTAAATAACTTAAGTAGCTTCTAAAAATTTTGTAAAAATTGTTGGAGAGGGGAGGAACTAGCTATGGACGAAAGATAGGTGGTGGTGGCAATAAAATTTGCTTTGCAACAAACCATCTGCAGATTCTTCATATAAAAAGTTGTTACACAGGAGACGATCAATTATTGAATAGAAATAGAAACATTTGCGTTCTTGTATTATCACTCAAATTTCCAGATCAGATCGAAATTTTTCTGTTAAATATATTGGTATGCAATCCTATACATGCTATAAGCATTTGCTCATCTCATTTCTATGGAAATTACATTGTACTGTTCCCTCATCATAGTTCATAATCTATGAAAAGTTAGTATCAGAAAAATGTAATTAATATAGGTTCAAGTTTGTGCTTTATCCAGTTTAGAGGGAACCGCTTATAAATTTTAGTCAATGAATGGTAGTTTTGGTATAAAATTGTATAAGAATGATTAGCATTGGCATTTCTTGTCTTCGTGGAAATTATTTAACCCTACATCTCAGTCTTAATTCATTGACATTGGCTACAGAATGTTTGCATTGTCACAAACAAAAAGAAGACATAGGTCTTATACTTCTTTGGCATTATGGTTTACATGTTTTATGAACAATTGCCATTTGAAATTCAGGAGTAACTTCAAGATATAATTTTTTTTATTCATTTTCCATATTCTACATGGACTATTGGACTAATATTCATAAATTTCATATTTTACCTGGTACTATTATACTCATCAGTTTCTAGGGACAATATTTTGACCCTACTGTTTAGATTTGTTTTTTACTGAAAAAACATATTGGCATAAAGGGACATAACTGATCATGAAGAATGGTAAAAGTGATGCTACCCAAATTTGTACTTGAACTGAGTTTTGTGGTAATAAGTATTGTGTATTATAACTTTCATACCATTTAGTTAAGGCAATCTAAAGTAAGAGAACTATATGACCTCAAATGCATTGATCGTTAAAAAAAGGGGGGTTCCAACCCCAGCAACCCTCCCCTGGATCTGCCATAATGGGGCCTCGGTGGCTGAATGGTCTAAGTAGTGAAACTACTGTATCACTAGCCTGTAAATAGATATAACAGTGATATCATACTTTAACTTTGTTTAAACCTGTTTATTTACTTTTGACTTTAATTATTTATCCCTTGTAATTTTTTATTAACTGTGTATTTGCATTCAGGTGTCACAGGTCAAATTTATTTGTTCATTATGTGTTAATTTATGTTTTTTGATTGAGTTAAGCCTTCCAATTGATATTTTATAGTGTGTTTTTCTATGTTGTGATGTTATACTATTGTTTCAGAAAAGGGAGAAGGTTTGGTACCATTAAAACGTTTAATCCCGCTGCAAATGTTTGCACCTGTCCTAAGTCAGGAATCTGATTACAGTAGTTGTCGTCTGTTTATGTAGTTCATACGTGTTTCTCGTTTTAATATAGATTAGACCGTTGGTTTTTCTGTTTGAATGGTTTTACACTAGTAATTTTTTGGGGCCCTTTATAGCTTGCTGTTCGGTGTGAGCCAATGCTACGTGTTGAAGGCCGTACTTTGTCCTATAATGGTTTACTTTTATAAATTTTTAACTTGGATGGAGAGTTGTCTCATTGGCACTCATACCACATCTTCCTATATCTATATAAGAAGTTATCCCTGGCTCAGTATACTTCTAGGATATTGATTGTTTAACACACGTGGTTACAAAACCCAATGCCGCTGGGTGTTGCTAAACCATATACCGGGCACTTCAGTGGCGTAGCCAGGTTCTGTGTGCAGTGCACGCAGAATCTGTCGATAAGAGACAGGGGCCGCTGAAGGCCCCCAGTGGGTTCAAGGCAAAGCTCTGGTAGGGGGCAGGGGGCAAAGCCCGCCTGAAGCTCAGAGAATTAAGTAAGCACAAAGAAGAATTTTGTTGTTGGAAATTTATCTGTTCTGTCTAATTTTCTTTAGAATTATATGTAATGACAGGGTCCAGTTATACCTCGATAAACGGACATGAGTGTTGGACTGATTCAGTGACGACAATTTGTTTATAAACCAGTATAATGCTGCTCTACTAATTTGCCTATTGAATATGCTAGAGAACTCGACGGAGACAATCGACCTTCAAAGAGTGATGCAAACAATTTTGTAATATATGTAGGCTGTAACATAATATTATGAAATAGATAATACATTGGCTTAGTCATAGGCCCGATCGTTGCTGGTTTTTGGCCGCTATGACGACACCAAAGCAGTCAGCTGATTATGAACAAGTCAATACAGAAGAGGTGTACAAATAAAACCAATAGTTATGCATTTTTAAGATTGATTAGTACGAGGAAAAGGAGTCTGAAGAACAAATCATGCGGACTCAAAACAATCCAATTATTCAAGTTTGCTTGACATACCGATAAATGGGAATAAAATGAAATGGTTACACGCAAGCGAGACAGCATTTTATCAACATAGATAAAAAAAACATCAAACGATATTATACAAATATAGCCTTTGTATGAGGTCTATACAAGGATATATTGACCTGAAAGAAGTATATTGACTGAGGACGAAGTCCGAGGTCGATATACTTCTTTGGGTCGATATATCCTGTATTGACCTCATACAAAGGCTATATTTGTTATATTATTAATTTTCGACCATATTTGTATCAAAATCGTCATTTGATTTTGTTGGAATTTTATAGATATTATATTGTCTCCTTGACAATAACAACATATTAGTTGTTATTTCATTTACTTTTTTTTTGTTTGTTTGACATCTTATGTATTTGAAAAATTTTTTTGTCAAATAATCGATCACAGATGTCATTTGTTTCAAAACGTTGAACAATATCCTGAAATTCATTACATGACGTCACAAAGTATATCGGTTTTTAGATATTCTAAAAATAACCGTGCAATATGCATTTTGCTGTGCAATATGCTTTTTGCTATCCGCCGTTTTCTCTCTACCTTCGAAAATATAGTTTAACATGTGACTATCCCTAAACGAATCAAATTTGTTAAAATATACGAATTAATAATATTAACAAACGTCCTCCAACAATGGACAAGTGTCTAAATAATATATATCAAGCTCTAAACCGGCCAGAGCAACACAGTTTTGAATACAATTTGCAGAGACTATAAAAGATCTGTCATTGACACCAAATTTCAAAAAATGACAAAATTATAAAGATAGAGTGACTTCCTGACTTCATCTTGGGTAAAGCGCATAATCATGAAGCGATGTGAAACGAATTTTTGAAATCGGTATCCTCCAATTTTTTTCAATGTGAATTAACGAAATTGTGGTGTATATATAAGACAGCAACCAAAAGACACACAAAAATAATAAAAGACGTCTAGAGTTCAACATCTGGTTTTTATCTTGTTAACTGATAAGTGATTTGCAAATAACAACAATTTACTGGTTTCATTTAAGCAAGCAACATTTTTCTTTGTTTGGTATTATAAAATATGTCAACAACTTCTTTTCAAATCAATTTCAAAATCAGCATGAATGTGCAATAGTATTAGAGAAGATAGCCATTATTGTCCCATTGTATATCTAAGATAGGTTTTAACCCGTTTCAGTTGCAGTTGTTGGTGGCATCGTAAGAAGAATTCTACAGTATACATTAGAATGCAGTTCTTTGTTTGTCGTTTCCAATGTTTCATATAGTTGATCTGGTATCTTTCAACGAGCAACATATCTTTGGATCTCGAGAGGCTCATTGGCGTGATATATATACGCAACTGATCTTCGCGTTTTAACTCTTTAACATTCTGTGGAATTAGAAGGTGGGCGAGAAACATTTCCTCTGAATTAACCAGTCAATCGGTCTTTAAATTTGTTTAGAAGATGGTATATGAACTGATGTAACTGATGGTAAAATATGGAAAAGTTTGGGTATTCTTATAAGTATCGATGAATAAATTGTATTTATCGATACTCCCTCACTCTCACACTCTTTCTCAATCATTCTTTCAAAAAAAAGTCTTTCAAAACTTTTTTTTTGCCTGTTTGTTTGTGCACGCAAGTGCGTCGTTGCGTCAATAGTAGCTACGCCACTGCACTTGAACGTTGCTACCCAGTTTTCCTTAATTCCATGTTTGTTCCTTGTGAAATATTGAATTCTGTATATTATTCATTATGTCTAACAATGTTAGTCTTTTATGCCAATCATTTGCACTCATTTTTAGTAAATGCATCGCTTGGCTGCCACATTCAGTGGCGTAGCTACCTAAGGCTCGACTAGGCACGTGCTGAATCTAAACATGATTATGGGCCCAGTTTTCAAGTTAGTCCAAGTTGGGGTCCAAAATTAAACATGTATTTTGATTTTTGGCCCTGTTATCATCAAAAATTGAATTCTTTGATATGCTGAATCTAACCATGTATTTTGGATATTGGACCATACTAGGTAAATTAAAAAAATTTAAGTTCTTAGACCACATTCATTCTGTGTCAGAAACCTATGCTGTGTCAAATATTTAATCACAATCCAAATTCAGAGCTGTATCAAACTTGAATGTTGTGTCCATACTTGCCCCAACTGTTCAGGGTTCGACCTCTGCGGTCGTATCAAGCTGTGCCCAGCGGAGCATTTTATTTACAAAATATTTTCCTTTGAAACTACTGAGCCAAGTTCATTATAGATAGAGAAAATCGAAACAGCAAGAATGTTCAGTAAAGTAAGATTGACAAACACATCATCATCACCAAAACATAATTTTGTCATGAATTCTATTCTCATCTATTATGTATGTCCTTTGTTTAGTATGAACATAGACCAAGGTGAGCGACACAGGCTCTTTAGAGCCTCTAGTTTTGTACTTATATCAGGCCATTAGTTTTCTTGTTTGAATTATTTTACTATGGTAATTTTGGAGCCTTTTATCTATGACCATGTTCTGTGACTTAAAGTAGTAAATTTCTGTGCCATTTGGTCTCTTGTTGAGATTTGTCTCATTGGAAATCATTCCACATCTTTTTTATAATCATTTACCAATTATTCAAAATTGATTAAACTAAACTTTACATATGAATGGCTGATAAAACTTAAACATGCATACTTTAGGGATAATAAATCTTGTTTTTACTTTTCAGTATGTTGAGAGAAGTTCAGAACAAGCAATTTGGTTGAAAAGGAGTTGTCAACACGTCATCTTTGAACAAGGTCAATTGTATTAGAAGTGAATCCTTAACAGAAATGAGACAATAATCAAATAATTCAAAGACTACATGGATGTTATCTGGACTAGCATTTGTATGACCTAAATGTGGTATTTTTCATATGAACACTTACAAGGCAGATAATAGTCTGTGACAAACATTTGTATGCAATTAAAGACTTGAAGAACTTGTACGGTATTCTTCAGATTTCAGTAGAATTTGTTTAAAACGGTACATTCTTGGTATGAATTGAAGAATTTTTGCTCATTTAAATGAATTATGAAAATGTTTTATATGTTTAGAATAAACAAAAACAACATAAAAGATGGACAAATTTTTATTTTCTTTCTTGAAACTTATAACAGAATAAATTGTCATATGCTAATTCTTGATAGATGTGCTGCCAGAAATTTATCAAGTCTATTTTTAGCCTGAAAGTGCAACTCAATGCACGGTTATACAAACAGGAAACTATATTTATCTTTCAACCATATAAAAAATAAGGATATATGGAAGGGTTGCAAATGAGAGTAACTATCCTTAAATGCCAATGATATCTTATAAACTATATAAGATATCTTATAAACTATATAAGATATCTTTAACTATATAAGATATCTCATTAACTATATAAGATATCTCATATAATTTTATAAGATATCTTATATAGTTTATAAGATATCTCATATAGTTTTTAAGATATCTCATAAAATTTATAAAATATCTTTTAAACTATATGAGATATCTTATAAAATTCAGAAGATATCTTATAAAGTATGTAATATATCTTATATACTTTATGAGATATCTTATCTATATCTTATATAATATATAAGATATCTCATTTGATATATAAGATATTGTATAAAAATAAAATTATAAGCTATCTTATATATTAAATAAGATATCTTATACATTAAATAAGATATCATATATTAGATATCTTATATATTATATAACATATCTTATATATTATATGAGATATCTTGAAATTCGAATAAATAGTAAAATGACTTTCCACCTAAGAACAAGTCATTGTTAAATAGATATAAGAATATGTGGTATGAGTGCCAATTGAAAATCATACAAGAGTAACAAAGGCCAGAGGCTCCTGACTTGGGACAGGCACAAAATTGTGGCGGGGTTAAACATGTTTTTTTGAGATCTCAACTCTCCCCTTATACCTCTAGCCAATGTAGAAAAAAAAAATCGCACAAAAATACGCACAGTGAAACTCAGTTTAAGAGTTGTCTGAGTTCGATGTCAGAATATGAAACAAAAGAAAATAAACATAACAACAGACTACTAGCAGTTACTGACATGCCAGCTCCAGACCTCAACTTTTTACATTTTCATATCTTTCTGGTTTTACTTTATAGTTGAGTTGCTGTCACACTGTGTTTACCGGAATGCCACATGTTCTTCAATCCTTAAGAAAACCATCAAGAATTTCAAAACTAGATATATTTTACAGAGAAGTTATTTCACTTCTTAACACAGGCAACTTGGAATCAAGGTTTTTGATATCATTTCACTTCCTACCACAGGCAACTTGGAATCAAGGTTTTTGTTATTATTTTAAAAATTATTTTCAGTGACTGACATGAAAAACATGACAACGTTATGTATCAGTTAGCATTGGATACTTGTGTATACGTATGACGAAGTTAAGCCGCGCTCTGTGTTTGGGGTTCACAGATACTATACCTCCCTTTTAGGTATAGGAACGTCCCCCGTATACGTATCAAGTATCCATTCTTATTGGTACGTTAAACTGAGAGTGAGGTGGCTCGGTTTGACTGATGTGCGATGGCTCAGTCAACATTTTTTTGCACCAACTGAGAGTGAGGTGGCTCAGTCTGCATGTGAAGCTCTGTAACATGCTTTTAATTGTAAAAAGTATTTTATTTGTTTTTATCCAAATTTTAATTAGGGATATTTTACTGTTTTTATCCAAATTTTAATTGGGGATATTTTACTGTTTTTATCCAAATTTTAATTGGGGATATTTTACTGTTTTTATCCAAATTTTAATTGGGGATATTTTATTGTTTTTACTGGAACAAACTGAGAGTGAGGTGGCTCAGCCTGCATGTGAAGTTCTGTAACATGCTTTTAATTGTAAAGTATTTTATTTGTTTTTATCCAAATTTTAATTGGGGATATTTTACTGTTTTTATCCAAATTTTAATTGGGGATATTTTATTGTTTTTACTAGAACAAACTGAGAGTGAGGTGGCTCGATCAGCCTGCATGTGAAGCTCTGTAACATGCTTTTAAGGGGAAAAAAGTATTTTATTTGTTTTTATCCAAATTTTTATTGGGGATATTTTACTGTTTTTATCCAAATTTTAATTGGGGATATTTTATTGTTTTTACTGGAACAAACTGAGAGTGAGGTGGCTCAGTCTGCATGTGAAGCTCTGTAACATGCTTTTTATTGTAAAAAGTATTTTATTTGTTTTTATCCAAATTTTAATTGGGGATATTTTACTGTTTTTATCCAAATTTTAATTGGGGATATTTTACTGTTTTTATCCAAATTTTAATTGGGGATATTTTATTGTTTTTACTAGAACAAACTGAGAGTGAGGTGGCTCAGCCTGCATGTGAAGCTCTGTAACATGCTTTTAATTGTAAAGTATTTTATTTGTTTTTATCCAAATTTTAATTGGGGATATTTTACTGTTTTTATCCAAATTTTAATTGGGGATATTTTATTGTTTTTACTAGAACAAACTGAGAGTGAGGTGGCTCAGCCTGCATGTGAAGCTCTGTAACATGCTTTTAAGGGGAAAAAAGTATTTTATTTGTTTTTATCCAAATTTTTATTGGGGATATTTTACTCTTTTTATACAAATTTTAATTGGGGATATTTTATTGTTTTTACTGGAACAAACTGAGAGTGAGGTGGCTCAGTCTACATGTGAAGCTCTGTAACATGCTTTTAATTGTAAAAAGTATTTTGTTTTTATGCAACTTTTAATTGGGGATATTTTACTGTTTTTATCCAAATTTTAATTGGGGATATTTTACTGTTTTTATCCAAATTTTAATTGGGGATATTTTATTGTTTTTACTAGAACAAACTGAGAGTGAGGTGGCTCAGCCTGCATGTGAAGCTCTGTAACATGCTTTTAAGGGAAAAAAAGTATTTTATTTGTTTTTATCCAAATTTTAATTGGGGATATTTTACTGTTTTTATCCAAATTTTAATTGGGGATATTTTATTGTTTTTACTGGAACAAACTGAGAGTGAGGTGGCTCAGCCTGCATGTGAAGCTCTGTAACATGCTTTTAATTGTAAAGTATTTTATTTGTTTTTATCCAAATTTTAATTGGAGATATTTTACTGTTTTTATCCAAATTTTAATTGGGGATATTTTATTGTTTTTACTGGAACAAACTGAGAGTGAGGTGGCTCCGTCTGCATGTGAAGCTCTGTAACATGCTTTTAAGAGGAAAAAGTATTTTATTTGTTTTTATCCAAATTTTAATTGGGGATATTTTACTGTTTTTATCCAAATTTTAATTGGGGATATTTTATTGTTTTTACTAGAACAAACTGAGAGTGAGGTGGCTCAGCCTGCATTTGAAGCTCTGTAACATGCTTTTAAGGGGAAAAAAGTATTTTATTTGTTTTTATCCAAATTTTTATTGGGGATATTTTACTGTTTTTATCCAAATTTTTATTGGGGATATTTTACTGTTTTTATCCAAATTTTAATTGGGGATATTTTATTGTTTTTACTGGAACAAACTGAGAGTGAGGTGGCTCAGTCTGCATGTGAAGCTCTGTAACATGCTTTTAAGAGGAAAAAGTATTTTATTTGTTTTTATCCAAATTTTAATTGGGGATATTTTACTGTTTTTATCCAAATTTTAATTGGGGATATTTTATTGTTTTTACTAGAACAAACTGAGAGTGAGGTGGCTCAGCCTGCATGTGAAGCTCTGTAACATGCTTTTAAGGGGAAAAAAGTATTTTATTTGTTTTTATCCAAATTTTTATTGGGGATATTTTACTGTTTTTATCCAAATTTTTATTGGGGATATTTTACTGTTTTTATCCAAATTTTAATTGGGGATATTTTATTGTTTTTACTGGAACAAACTGAGAGCGAGGTGGCTCAGTCTGCATGTGAAGCTCTGTAACATGCTTTTAAGAGGAAAAAGTATTTTATTTGTTTTTATCCAAATTTTAATTGGGGATATTTTACTGTTTTTATCCAAATTTTAATTGGGGATATTTTATTGTTTTTACTAGAACAAACTGAGAGTGAGGTGGCTCAGCCTGCATGTGAAGCTCTGTAACATGCTTTTAATTGTAAAGTATTTTTTTGTTTTTATCCAAATTTTAATTGGGGATATTTTACTGTTTTTATCCAAATTTTAATTGGGGATATTTTATTGTTTTTACTAGAACAAACTGAGAGTGAGGTGGCTCAGCCTGCATGTGAAGCTCTGTAACATGCTTTTAAGGGGAAAAAAGTATTTTATTTGTTTTTATCCAAATTTTTATTGGGGATATTTTACTCTTTTTATACAAATTTTAATTGGGGATATTTTATTGTTTTTACTGGAACAAACTGAGAGTGAGGTGGCTCAGTCTACATGTGAAGCTCTGTAACATGCTTTTAATTGTAAAAAGTATTTTGTTTTTATGCAACTTTTAATTGGGGATATTTTACTGTTTTTATCCAAATTTTAATTGGGGATATTTTACTGTTTTTATCCAAATTTTAATTGGGGATATTTTATTGTTTTTACTAGAACAAACTGAGAGTGAGGTGGCTCAGCCTGCATGTGAAGCTCTGTAACATGCTTTTAAGGGGAAGAAAGTATTTTATTTGTTTTTATCCAAATTTTAATTGGGGATATTTTACTGTTTTTATCCAAATTTTAATTGGGGATATTTTATTGTTTTTACTAGAACAAACTGAGAGTGAGGTGGCTCAGCCTGCATGTGAAGCTCTGTAACATGCTTTTAAGGGAAAAAAAGTATTATATTTGTTTTTATCCAAATTTTAATTGGGGATATTTTACTGTTTTTATCCAAATTTTAATTGGGGATATTTTATTGTTTTTACTGGAACAAACTGAGAGTGAGGTGGCTCAGCCTGCATGTGAAGCTCTGTAACATGCTTTTAATTGTAAAGTATTTTATTTGTTTTTATCCAAATTTTAATTGGGGATATTTTACTGTTTTTATCCAAATTTTAATTGGGGATATTTTATTGTTTTTACTGGAACAAACTGAGAGTGAGGTGGCTCAGTCTGCATGTGAAGCTCTGTAACATGCTTTTAAGAGGAAAAAGTATTTTATTTGTTTTTATCCAAATTTTAATTGGGGATATTTTACTGTTTTTATCCAAATTTTAATTG